TGTGTGTGTGTGTGTGTATTATGGATAAAGAAGATGTGGTATATATATATACTCACACTCAATGGACATCTGGGCTTTTTTCATATTTTGGCTGTTATGGATATAAACATTGGGGTTTAAGTGCCCCCTCTTACCACTATTTGTGTATCCTTTGGATAAACACCCAGTAGTGCAGTTGCTGAGTCATAGGGTAGTTCTATTTTTAGCTTTTTGAAGAACCTCATACTCTTTTCCAGAGTGGCTGTACCAATTTGAATTCCCATCAACAGCTTAAGGGTTCTGCTTTCTCTGCATCCTTGACAACATCTGTCATTTCCCGAGTTGTTAATTTTTGCCATTCTGACTGGTGTGAGGTGGTATCTTATTGTGGTTTTGATTTGTATTTCCCTGATGATGAGTGATGTTGAGCATTTTTTCATAAGTCTGTTGGCCATTTGAATGTTCTTTTTGGAAAAATGTCTGTTCAAGTCTTCTGCCCACTTCTTATTTGGATTTTTTATTATGGGGGTGTTTGATAAGTTCTTTATATATAGTGGCCCTTTACCCTGTATGTCATTTGCAAATATCTTCTCTCATTCCATTGGTTGTCTTTGAGTTGATTGTTTGTATTGCTGTGCAGAAGCTTTTTATCCTGATGAAGTTCCAGTAGTTCATTTTTGCTTTTGTTTCCCTTGCCTCTAGAGACGTGTCTAGTAAGAAGTTGCTGAGGCTGAGATCAAAGATGTTGCTGCCTGTGTTCTCCTCTAGGATTTTTTGATAGATTCCTGTCTCACAATTAGGTCTTTCGTCCATTTTTTAAAATTTTTTTTTCTTTCATCCATTTTGAATTAATTTTTGTGTATGGTGTAAGGAAGTGGTGCAGTTTCATTCTTCTGCATGTGGTTGTCCAATTTTCCCAACAGCATTTGTTGAAGAGAAGGTTTTTTTTTTCCATTCGATATTGTTTCCTGCTTTGTTGAAGATTAGTTGACCATATAGTTGTGGGTCCATTTCTGGGTTCTCTATTCTGTCCCTTTGATCTATGTATCTGTTTTTGTGTCAGTACCATACTGTCTTGATGACTACTGCTTTGTAATACAGCTTGAAGTCCAGAATTGTGATGCCTCCAGCTTTGGTTTTCTTTCTCAACATTCCTTTGGCTATCTAGGATCCTTTCTGGTTCCATACAGATGTTAGAATTGTTTATTCTAGCTCTGTGAAAATACTGGTATTATTTTGATAGGGATTGCATTGACTATGTAAGTCGCTTTGGGTACTACAGACACTTTAACAGTATTTGTTCTTCCAATCTGTGAGCATGGATTGTTTTTCCATTTATTTATATCTTTTTCAATTTCTTTCATAAGTGTTCTAGAGTCTTCAGAGGATATTGGTCTGTAATTCTCCTTTATAGTGGGATCTTTGGTTTTGGAATCAAGGTAATGCTGGCCTCTTAGAATAAGTTTGGAAGTTTTCCTTCCATTTCTATTTTATGGGAAAGTTTCAGAAAAATAGGTATTAATTCTTATTTAAATGTTTGGTAGAATTACCCTAAGGAGCCATCCAACCCTGGACTCTTATTTGCTGGGAGATTTTTGATTACTGATTCCAATTCTTTGCAGGTTATGAGTCTGTTTGGATTTTCTATTTCTTCCTGATTCAGTTTTGGTAGTTTATATGTTTCTAAGAATTTATCCATTTCTTCCAGATTGCCTAATTTGTTGGCATTTAATTGCTCATAATATGGTCTTATAATTGTTTGTATCTCTGGGGTGTTGGTTGTGATCTCTCCTTTTTCATTCATGATTTTATTTATTTGGGTCCTTTCTCTTTTCTTTTTGATATGACTGGCTAGAGGTTTATCAATTTTGTTAATTCTTTCAAAGAATCAGCTCCTAGTTTCATTGATCTGTTCTGTTGTTTTTTTAAATTCTTTATCATTTATTTCTTCTCTAATCTTTATTATTTCTTTTATCCAACTGGAATTAGGCTTTATTTGTTGCTCTTTTTCCATCTCCTATAGGTGTAAGGTTAGGTTGTGTATTTGAGACTTTTCTTGCTTCTTGAGGTAGGCCTGTATTGCTATACACTTCCCTCTTAGGACTGCCTTTGCTGCATCTCAAAGATTTTGGACTGTTGTGTTTTTCTTTTCATTTGCTTCCATGTATTTTTTAAATTCTTTAATTTTCTGGTTAACCCATTCATTCTTTAGTAGGATTTTTTTAACCTCCTTGTATTTGTGGTCTTTACAAATTTTTTCTTGTGGTTGACTTCAAGTTTCATAGTAAATACTTAATCTTTAAAAATAGATAAAGGTAAAGATGGAACATTTCAGAGAGTCACATAGAAAATCTTATTTTTCTCTTTGGCTATGTAATCATGGGAAAAGGAAGGATATGTGTGCTTTAGGGGCAAGGGAATGGAATGTTTTGGTTTGCTCTCTCTATAGCATTTTGCATAGTTAACAATTGTCTTTTTCTGGAAACTTTAACCTTTTGTCTTTCATAACCATGTTTGTATTCTCTACTTTTGGGCAATCTCCTTTGCTATCTCTATATCTTTGCTCATTGTTCTAAAATTCTAGTGGTTTTCATCATTCTATCTTCTCCTTATCTTCTTTTATCTGGGTTACCTAGGTAATATTATTCACAAATGTACTTTCTAACTTAGCACATATCTTCTTCCTCCAAAATGACCCTCATGATAAATCATAACTGTGAATAACATTTCCCATTACAAATATTGATACTGAACAAATCCCAAATATTCAGCAGCTTATTTTGCAATACAAAATAATTTCTTAGTATTATGATAGTCCAATGAGGACAGGTATTCATGGCCAGAAGATAGTATTCTTTCCTGATTTGATTCAGGTGTGTATGTATGTATGCTTCACTTCTACTCAAGTGAAGCTCTATGAAAATCAAGTGTTCTTTAACACTCCTCTATCTTCTCACCTAGATAAAACAGAACTTAATGGGGCATAGCTAAATAATGAAGAATCCTACTGATGCATATTAACTCAAGAAATTTCCTCTAAGGAGCACCTCAGTGGCTCAGTGATTGAGCATCTGCATTCACCTCAGGTCATGATCCTGGGGTCCTGGGATCAAGTCCCACATTGGGCTCCCCACAGGGAAGCCTGGTTCTCCCTCTGCTTGTGTCTCTGTGTCTCTCATGAATAAATAAAATCTTTTAAAAAAGGAAATTTCCTCTAAAACAACTAGGTGTTTGTTCATAGACAGATTATTTATAGGAAATCTTAAAAGATGACTTGTTGTTTATCAGTGGAGTCAGTGGAGGTACTATGGCCATGCAGTTGTTGAGGGTAATTAGAAGTAACGTCATGAAATCTGCACAGGTCTGGGATGAGGGTGCTCAATACAGTACGGCTGGGTTGTTTTCTTGTTTTTGTTGTTACTGTTTTCCCAGAAAACATATTCTCATGAAATTATTTTTTTTTAATTGGAGATCCAAACTTCTTTCTTTTTTTTTGATTTTAATAAATTAATTTTTATTGGTGTTCAATTTACCAACATACAGAATAACACCCAGTGCTCATCCCGTCAAGTGTCCCCCTCAGTGCCCGTCACCCATTCACCCCCACCCCCGCCCTCTCATGAAATTAAAAAAAAAAAAAGCTGTACTTATTATGAGAGTCTTACTGAAAAGTCAAAGGCAGAGGTGCCTATGTGGCCCAGTTCATTAAGCTACCGACTCTTGATTTTGGCTCAGATCATGATCTCAGAGTTGTGAGATCAAGCCCTGTGTCCAGCTCTGTACTGGGCATAGAGCCTGCTTAAGATTCTCTCCCTTTGCCCCTCTCCCCCCACCCCCTGTGGTGCTCTCTCTCTCTCTCTGTAAAAAAAAAAAAAGCATACCTGAAGACATGATGATAAAGGTTATATGACCATCCTATGATTTATCAAATTTATATTCCACTAGGGAATTCATCCCTGACATTCCCAACACATCTAAGTACTTAATCTTTTGGAATATTTAAAGACAGAACTATAGAATATTAAAAAATAAATCTTTAATATATGTCTATCCATCTAGAAACAAATTATTTAGAAAATTGTGGGAGAAATTGTGATTATAGTTTGGATCTCATCATTTTTATTATTTCTCTTTTGTTGTAATCACTGCTTGGGAAAGGAAAATAGTTCTTGGTAATAAAGTAATGTCATTGTTATCATACTTTATTGGTCTATGCCATTGTTGGAAACTGCACTGCAGTGTTCATGGCCAAGAAGATCCCAGGTACTGACTCACAGGAACAGAAGAGAGGAGAGGGGATGGGGCCATCATTCTTGCAATGCATTGTAATTTACACAGTGTGATTGTGCATCTCATATATGGCAAGCATTATCTTAGACTCCAGGGAAACAAAGTCACAGGTCTCAGTGTCTTTAACATTATATACTGTAAAAACAAGTACTTACTGAACTGTTTTATAAATGTGACACCAGAAATAAGAAAAAAGTACAAGTATTTGGAAGCACAAGAATAATAAATTTTGCTGGGAGGAGTGAGGAAAAGTATTCTAGAGGATATGTGTTCTGTCTCCAACCTAGTCTTTAATGGTGGGAGCTGAGGGACTGGGCTAGAGGCACAGGAAAAGACTTTATCGTGACCATTAAGGAATTCAGGGTTGTTTTTTTTTATTTTTTATTTTTGATTTTTTAAGTCTATATTTAATTTTATTATTATTTTTTATTATAAATTTATTTTTTATTGGTGTTCAATTTGCCAACATATAGAATATCACCCAGTGCTCATCCCGCCAAGTGCCCACCTCAGTGCCCGTCACCCAGTCACCCCCACCCCGCGCTCATGATTTCACCTGATAACGTGACACTCCTCAGATTCCTGATCTACCAGTTAGGGGCTAAAAAGTAAAATCAGGGACTATGATATGTGTATGCATTTGAGGGCATTCATTTCATTGCTTTTCTCATAAATAATTTTAAACCAAAGTGGCCTGATAACTATCCAAATTTTTTGAGTATTCAAAATTATTTATTTTATCATTATGCACAATGAAAGAAAGCATTATAGAGAGCGGAGTCCTTTCCCGCCATAAAATTATTTACACCCATATATTTAGCTAGAAACACTAACTAGAAGAGGTACTGGTATATTCCATTTGTAATAATTTCTCTACAGCAAACAGTTGTCTTACACTTGGAGCATGTTGAAAAAAAATATTGACTTGTAGGTCTTTTTTTTTTTTTTTTTTTTGAGTCTCAATCACTAAGAGCTCAAGGTACTCTGAGAGAATCCTGGTGTCCTAGATGGTCTGATGAATGCATTAAAAATCAAGCAATGTATTTGTATTCTGAAAATACTCTTATATCCATATAAATGCTGCTTGAGTTGTGGAGCTCACATTTCTCCTACTGGCACGATGACACGTGAAGAACATCTGTTATGAAAGCTTCACGCCAATTTTGTTCTGTTCCTTTTTCATTAGCCACTGTGCCTCCTTCTCCATTTTCTTCCTCTGTTGTTCTGCTGCTCTCTCTTCTCTGTCTGCTATCTTCTCCTGCCTCAGAACTTCTTCTACTTGCCAGGCTGCATCTTCTTCTTCTTCCCATGCATTGGTATTTTTCTGCCAAGTATCTAAGTCACCTAATTCAAGAGATTGATGAATAAAAGGCATATCTTATGTAGCTGCTAATCTACTAGAGAAACCTGTGCTACCATCTGGAATGCCAAAATTTAATGGTTCTCTCTTCTTAATAATGATTTTCTGAGTTTTCCTTATAGTTGGTGTCATGTCCTTAAAATAGTCAGGTTCCAGTTGTTCCAAAGCATTTTGTTGTGTTGCTACATTCCCATTCCCTCCTTCAATCTTTACACTTGTGGGGGCATCTTCATCCCAGGAAGTCCACTCTTCAACATCAGTCTGTTTAGGAACTGATGAATAATCAACTGTAGTTGGCAAAGTTATTTGGTCTCCACTTAATTTCTGTCCTCTGCCAGATCTGCATATTAATCTCTTTAGGAATGAGAATACTGTTGCAAGGCAGGTGCAAACTTTAAATAACCGAAACTGTGTGATAGCCATGGTGGGACTCAAAACCTGCCCCTCCCCTCCCCGCCCCGTAACTATCCAAATTTTAAATATCATCTAAGGAGACTTATCAAAGAGCAGTTGTAACTTTTATGTATATTGTGAAGTGTTTCATTGTATTTGCTGAAGAATTTTACAACTTCTAATGTATACCACAGGAGACAGGTTTTTTGGTTAGTCACCTGTAAGTTTTTAGTAAAATCAAATATATATTGATTGCATTTTGTTTTGATTAATCTAATTATGTTTTTGAAAAGTGGTACAGGTAGCTGTGTACAAATCAAGCTGAGGTTAGGAGACTTAGCAAACCAGTTCAAAGGCTGCTGTTCTAAACCACATAAGGTGATAAAGATTTGAATTAAGATGGCACATGGAGAAAAAAAATATTGATGAGGCATATAAAAGAGCAGGAGAAAGAGATGTGTTAAAGAATGAGAGGAATAGACTTTGGGGGAAGACAGCAGAGTAGGAGTGAGTCAGTCAGAGAAAGACAAACATCACCCACCACCCCTCACCATGATTCTGTCTCTAGGTTTCTTACCTAATCATCATCTCCTGTTAAATTTCCAGTCACTCCATCATCAACCTGTTTAAAACTTAACTCAGAATTTTCACCCCAGATTTAAACTTAGTTCTTGTTCCCTGCAGGGCAGACATTTGAGAGTTAAGCCATCCTCATTTTCCCTCTTTTCTTCACCTTCATGTCTCATCTCCATGTTGAACTTTCTAAGAATACATTCCCTCCTTTTTATTCTTCCAGTCACTTCTTACTTTAGCTTCTCTTTTATTTTTAAAAAAAGATTTTATTTATTTATTTGAGAGAGAGAGAGAAAGAGAAGAGCACATGTAAGTAGGGAGAGGGGCAGAGGGACAAGCAGACTCCCTGCTGAACCTGGAGCCCAATTCCAGGCTCCATCCCAGGACCTGGAGATCATGACCTAAGCCAAAATCAAGAATTGGATGCTTAACCAACTGAGCCACCCAAGTACCCCCTTACTTTAGCTTCTTATTGATTTCCAGCTTTAATCATTAACCACAGACTTAGGGGTTACTATGTGCCCAACACTGTGTTAAGCACGGTATCTGTTCTACTTTGTTTGGTTCCCACAACAGCTCTACAAAATAGGCTTAGATTATTTACAAGATGTTAATAATCTTGTCAAAGGACATAAAGCTAATTAAGGAACCTCAGTTGGAACCCAAAATAGTTTTATTTCTCGATTCAATTAGCTCTTTTCTGTAACGAAAGAAAATATGGCTTTCCAAGTAACCCGTTGCTAGATTCATTTAACTAATGAACCCAAGTTCCAAATATACATTAATGCTTTTCAATAACTGAACCAAGTACCAAAATTTTTTCCTTTATTATGCACATTTATATTGACAAAACTTGTTCATCTTTTTAAAAAACTGATGTAACTTTAAAGTAAGCATATTGGTTTCAAAACTCCCATCCGAGTTAAGTAAATATACTAACTCTTCTGTTAACCCATGATTATTAAAGTTGAATTCAAAGGAATATTGAGTAAATTGAAAATCAACTCTAAATATCCTAATATCAACAATGTATCCTTCAAATATTTCTTGTAGTTTTTATGGTCAATTTGTGTAATGCTGTGAATCAGTTTAAAGCTTCTTCATATTGATTCATGTTAAATAATATGTAAAATCATTATTATTGATTCATTATGCAGAGACTTAATTGCAACATATATTCTTGAACATATCTGGTTCACAGACAAGCTTTTCCTTTCTTGTAGCTTCAAATTTAGTTCATTCATATGTAATGTGATATAACAGCAAGAAAACATAGATCAGACTTCCAAGTTTTATGTTTGGATTTTAAATATTTGTCAAGCATTCCTTTTCTTTCAAGAAAATATTGAATTGGAATTAACAATGCAGTTAATCTTTGTACAATTCTTCCACAATTCAACCAATAAACACTGGTAGAGAACACGAGATGATTAAATTCATTGTTTTCTATTTATTTTAGTGATTTCAAAAATTTTTGATGGCTCATAGCATTGCATATATTCCCCAAGTGATTTTAAATTCAATAAATGCTATGGCAATGTTCATAGTTTGCTTTAGAATACTGGGGCATATGTATTTTCATTATGTATCACAGGTAGAAACAAAGCAGAAAGGGATGAATGTTTCTTGTTTTAAAATTTCAGTAAATCAGGACTTTTGGCTTAACAAAATTGGAACACCTGTTACGACAGAAACTAATACTTCATATCTAAAATTTAGGGGCTGACATGAAATTCAAAAATATCTATGGTACTAGTTCCATTTGTTAGGCCATGAATTGAGTATATTTCATCATAAAAATATGGATATCCTTTGAGAACTACATATTAAATGTTACTTTGGCAATGGTTTTACATCACACTGCTCATCTACAGACAAGAGACTAAAGACAAGTTTGAATCAGTTGATCCTTGATGTTACAGAAAGGTCTTGTATTTCATGTGCGATTGTTTTGTAGCTTAACTGAAATCTCTCACTTTTTGTGAAATATCTTTTAAAAGTCTTTCTTCATAATTTTCTACCAAATTTTCATAATTGAAATAGTAATATATTTCCCATTTCTCCATCTAAAAATTATTTGTGTGTGTGTGTGTGTGTGTGTGTGTGTGTGTAAGAACCAAGCTATTTATAGTTGGCTAAAGTTAAAAGCTTAGGTTCTTTTAAAATTATTTTAAAAATATTTTTGCACATTTAATTCTAGTTCTAGCTGACGAATTTTATCAATTCTTTTTAACTTTTGGGAGGGGAATAACTTGTCAAAATCACTATGTATTTGCTGAAAATGTCTCTTAATATATCTTTCATTTTTTTAGAAAGTTTCTCTTTTTTTAATTTATTTATTTATGATAGTCAGAGAGAGAGAGAGAGAGAGAGAGAGAGAGAGAGGCAGAGACACAGGCAGAGGGAGAAGCAGGCTCCATGCACCGGGAGCCCGATATGGGATTCGATCCCAGGTCTCCAGGATCGCGCCCTGGGCCAAAGGCAGGCGCCAAACCGCTGTGCCACCCAGGGATCCCTCTCTTTCATTTTTTAAAAGATTTATTTGAGAGAGAGAGAGAAAGAATGAGAAGGAGGGAGGGGCAGAAGGAGAGGGAAAGAGAAGCAGACTCCTTGCTGAGCAGGGAGCCTGGACCCAGGGCTGGATCTCAGGACCCTGAGATCATGACCTGAGCCTAAGGCAGACGTTTAACTGACTGAACCGGCTAGGTGCCCCTAAACGTTATTTTTCTTTACACAAAAGATAAATCTTTTGTATTGCTCTGCCACAGCAAAATATAATTTCCACTTACCATAAAATTTGCAACATTTTCTTCAAGTATCTTTTATTCTCTACTATTCTAGTTGTTTAAGCTTCTGCATCTCTATTCTATCCTGTATCAATATTATGCCTTCATTTTTAATGTAAAAAATTGTTGTTTACATATTTATTTGTTGTAAACATATTTATTGTTTAACAGGAAAATTGAGGGAAATAATATACAAAGAAATACAATGAAAAATAGTCACTAGAACTTATCTATCTCTTGATAATGACTAGATTGGCAATATGTTCATGTTTAATACTAGAATCAATGCACATACTTTTTTTTAAAGTAGTTTCCATGCCCAACCTGGGACTTGAACTCACAACCTTGAGATCAAGAGTCACATGCTCTATAGACTAAGCCGTTCAGACACTCCAATGCACATACTTGATAAGAAACTACAATATAATGATAATATTTTATGTCACAGATTGACAAACTTCTGGGAAGGTCCAGATAGTATATATTTCAGGCTATGATAGCTGGATAAGAGTCAAAGTCAAGAATACTATGTAAATACTTATATAAAAAGAGAGAAAGTAAATTTCCACAATTTGTATTAATGAAATTCAAAAGATAATATAATAATAATTGACTAAAATATCTGGTGTAGGGCAGCCCAACTGGCTCAGCGGTTTGGCACCACCTTCAGCCCAGGGAATTATCCTGAAGACCTGGGTTTGGGTCCCGCGTTGGGCTCCCTGCATGGAGCCCGCTTCTCCCTTAGCCTGTGTCTCTGCCTCTCTCTCTCTCTCTCTCTCTCTCTCTGTCTGTCTCATGAATAAATAAATAAAATCTTTAAAAAAATAAAATAAAATATTCTGGTGTAGTATAGGTCCAGTAAGGAGAAAAATGGAATTCTGGAGCAAGGAAGATTCCCTTTTCTTTTTGGGATTCAAAGTTAATATTCTCCTCAAAATACAAGCTAATGCTCATCTGTTAATGTGTTTTAAGACTTTACATATTTCAAATTTGAAACTTTGCTTTTCACATAGATACCACTACATATTGTTAACTAACAAGCATATGATTTTAGTTGAGCATACTCATCATTTGGATGGCATTTTTTGCCTTTCAGCAAATCACTACATTGCAGATTCATCACTTCCAATTGAAGTATAAATGGACACTCCTCAATTGCATAATTAGATGGAATTTGAAATATGGAAATATCTTTTGCACTTACATCAAGATTGAAAAAGAAACGCTATCTTAGAACTATAATTTGAGCTCAAAAAATATATGTTGCATATTTGTGTAAAAATGGCAATCCCACTTCTCGTCTTTACCTTTGACAACATGTATAGTTTATAGAGCAGCTTGACATTACTTGTGATTCAAATGTTAGTTGTTTTTGAAATGACTTTACCACACTATGTTTCACATATAAGTGTTGTTTTGGCTTGCAATTTTAGGAATTCATTAAGGAACATTTTCAAGTCAGCAACAAAGTTCATTTCAAAGGATGGAATTTGGATCTTAACCTCTTGGTTAGGGGGCTGGCAAAGCATCTTCCTTACACCACTTCTTTATTCTTTCCCTCTATCACTTGCTTTCTTCCTCTGCTAATGGAATTATTACTCTCCATTTTCTTTACTTTTTTCAAAAATGCCATTTTATACATATATTTGACATAATTTTGTGTAAATTTAAGGCACACAACAAGTTAATAC